TAAAATTACGGAAAGAAGCTGAGTAGTTGTAAAATACTGTCTCCACGAATCTGAATTTAGTTTGTTGGCAGAACCCTAAACCAATACATTATTTATGAACTGCATGCAGTTACATGTATGCATATTTTATAGATTTAATATAATGGATCCAATCATTTGGAGAGATTGCAAGAGCTCAGATTAAAGCAAGATGTCACATATCATATTAGATATAAAGCCAAAATTTAATGAGACAAGTAAAGGTCAGAGAAGCACACTGAAGTTTCAATTTGATACCCCTACACTTTTTGTTCTTAAGCATGCATCACAACTTCAAACATAYAGCAAAACTAAAAGTTAGTATAAAAGGATAATGCTAATGCCAACCAAACAAGGAAGTTAAAGTTGGGTTTCTATTCCACRAACTAAAACACTGCAATTCAGTCTCCTCTCTAGTCCTCATTTCCTAAGGTATTATCAAGGCATTTTTAGTGACTGATGCCCAATTAATTGAAACTTGATCCAGCAAAGTTAACAACACCTCTTATTGGTGGGTTAAGGAAAAAAAACAAAAAAACAAGCAACTGTGTGTAATAATAATATAGCACCTCCTGTGTTATAGTAATGCATTTTTACTGATTATCTGGATTCCATCTGTTTTCTGTGCTGTCCTGCAGCCAGGAAAGCCCTTTGTTATTCCTTTTACTCCACTCCCATTCTTTACCTTCTATCGATGTTTTTCCACTCAGTACTAAAGTCTCAAACAAAAGGATACTTACTCTAATAAGACTTCTCCTTAAGGCCCTAAAAGTACTAAATGCTTTCTAGTTAGCAATCTTTTCTTTTGCAGGTGAACAAATTCCCAGACAAGAAAGATCAGAGTGGACAAGGAAAGCAGGTTGGCAAGGAAGAAACAAGGGACAGCGAGTGATAAAGAATCAGAGCAACATYAGGATTTTTATACCGTTTTTCTCCTTCTGTATTACTTAMTAACTTTTTTCTCAGTTTTGTMATTTCACTTTCTTCACTTCTTTCTGTCACCATTACTCTCCTCATATGAATTAGTATTTCCAAGGCATAATTTGCTGTTAATTGCATCTCATTAAGGAATGACTAAACTGTTGTCTCACTTATTTTATCTTTTCCATTTTTATGTCTGCTGCTGTCATTTCTGGAATATATCAATCATTTCTCCCCCTTCATATCATGAGTCAAGCCATGATAATGATGATTTCCCTAACTCTTTCTAGGATCAGTTCAAACAGCTTCAATATCCCAAAAAACCTGGCCATAAAGAGCTTTAGTACTGCCCTTCAGTACTTTTACATTATTGTTGGTACTCCCTTTTACCWTTTCCATGTATTTTTAAGAAATATTATTGTGCTTACAGAACTGCTYATACAACACACTTGTGGAAAGAGTCATATTTCTGCCTCTTTATCATTTATTTTCCATCCTCTCATTGTTTACTCCAACAATCTTCTCTCTTTCTCTTGCAACAGAAAAATTGTCCCTTTGCTCTTTCCTTTCCTTTTACAGAGCTTTCCCTCCAATGTATCATTTGACTCTGCTTCCACATTTCATTTTGTGGAAATATGTCTTCTCCATTGTATGTTAGAAGCATTTCTACAAAAAAAATCTTGTCTGTTGTGCCTCCTATGTCCAGACGTTTCTCTTTTTCTGACGCTGCTGAGATACCCTGTCCACACAATGTCTGCTTTGGGCAGCCAACAGGGCCAACATTCAGCTTTCCAGACTTCCTGATACYCTCCAACTATTGCTCAGTCCCGTAGTATGAGTATGCCACACACTCTCCTTCTGCTCTGCTGCAAGACAACATTGAAAAAATACCAAGATTCCCCTTCATACCTTACCAGCCAAACTCTTCCTTCCTGGCTGCACTTCACATCTTTCCTTTCTGTCACCATGCTAGAAAAAAAATCAAATTCTGTTCTTCACAGCTTAACTGCAATTCTGGTTAATTCTTTGTAAACTACTAAAATCATCACTTCCTTTATAGTTCATACTGCTTTAAATTTTAGTTCCAAACCCTATAATTTAAGCTTCATTTTCTTCCCAGTTTTCTTCATAAATCAGAACTTCTTCCTATTACCTCTTTCTGTGATTACCATCTCAAATTTTTCACACATGACAAATACAGTATTTCTAAGACTTCTTTTTCTTATAGAAACTGGCTTCTTCTGTTCAGATACAGAGAGATAGTATTTCCTGAGTGGCTAATACTACCTTTGAGGGTACAATGGAAATATCCAAAATATATGAGCACATATAAGAGAAGAGATGATCACCATRCACCATGTAAGGAAGCATATGGCAGGTTCATTTTTCCTTTTTAAACACATTACATACTCTAAACTTTCTCCACCCATTTTGCCTTTGGGTATTTTTACTTCAACATAGCTTTTTCTTAATTATTTCAACAAAGCTTTTCTGACCCCTAAAGAACAMAACTATCTGAAACAAACAATTCCATAACCTTTTGAGCTGTTTCCCAAGTTCTTCCTTTTCTTAATCCAATCACTTTTTTCAGTTGCRCTTACCCTATTACGCTCCTTAGTAATATACTCTACCCACTCAGAACTCAACTTCTAAAAAAACAATTTGCCAGACTTTAGAGGCCATTTGTTCGTTTCCAGCCATTCTACTCAGACAGCTGTATTTCGTTGTAGCCAGGCTTCCAGGGATGCCTTTGTTTAACATGTCATTATTTCTCATCAGCCTTTAAACAGTTCAAGCAAACTTTTAGGTTTTCTCTCTCATTTTATAGCACACTTTTCCAGGCTTTTCCCACAATGCTGAGAAATTAATATGAGCTGTATTCTTAGGATTTTTTCCCCACATCTTCTCACAGAAAAACAATATTCATTCTGAGTGTGATAATGTCAGCACTCTGAACTTATTTATTGGTCTTTTACTTCTCAGTCACCAGACAAGCTTCCTGAATTAGAGTTTACTTTCTCCTGTTACTTTCAAAAAATTACYATATATTTAAGTTGCTCTCTCTAAGATTACTTACACACTCATTCTCCTCAACTAGCTGATMAATATTGCTGCAAAAACTCTCCCAGAATTTCTAATTTAATTTTAGTTTACATTTCAACTGCTGTTWTTCTATCCTCACATTTTTTCTTCTTCTGCTAAAGCTTATGGAATAACAGCTTCTTTCAAGATTTCCAGAACTCACTTTTTTCCTCTCTCTCATTCTCCCATCTCTCCTTCTAAAGTCTCTTAGTGATGTTATGTTATTCATGCACAACTGTTTAAGTTTCAATCACATTTGAAACAGAAACTAGGAGATGACAAACCTTCTGGAGACAAACACAATTCCAGATGGCAACTGGAGCTGAATGAGGCTCCCAGMTCTGAGCCAAGATAAAGTTCACTGACAAAACCTAATCAGTGTACGAGAGCAGCACAGAAAAAGAAATACCTACATTTCACTGCTTTAAATTTCACCTATTTCCTCCACTCTATATTGATATTGGGTCCTTCACACTATAATTATTGAACAATACCTGGACTGATAGGTTAAGAGACAGTTAAAGAAAGAAACATAGTTTACTAATAAATTAGCTGATGCCACAGAGGTCACTTCAAGGAGAGATGTTAAAAAAATCCTGAGCTCTTTGTACACTTCAAAGTTTAGAAACTGAGTCTACCACGCTTCCAAACCTCCCCAATATAAGTACAGCATGGAAGCAAAATTTCATGTCTCTGGACTAATAACAGGTTGCAGAACTTCCTCCAAAAGGTTCACCTCTGATCAACTGTCATGAAAGAGGCACCACCTTTACACCATCCCCATAATTCAAATAACATTGATAGCTGGAAGAAAATTATTCCAATAACCTGAGCTCCCTTGATGAAGAGATTTTTCAAAAGTATCAGAAGCAAAACTATTGGCTTGACCACATGGTTAAAAAAAAGCTCAGAAAGCTGACYACATTTTAAAAACAACCATTTCAGAATGGCAATGCTCTATACATTGAAACACATGCAATTTCTTTTTTACTCCAAAATATTTTCAAGACTTTGGGGTTTCAGAAAATGAAAACCTTGGTAAAGAAGCAACAACTATTTTGTACAAAGGAGCAGCAGTTACCACAATGATTTGTCCCCTTTTATTGGTGGTGGCAACTTTTATTAGATTACAATTTTATTTCTTCCAAATGTGCATTTAATGCTATCTGGCAGTAAGTTTTAATTATAGAGAGATGCTCGAAGTTAACAAGCCAGGATCATTACCAAGAAGGTTCTAAGTACTATTTGTGTATTTTTAATAGAATTTTTACATATCTCGTAATACAAAAATATGCACACTGGTTTATGTTTGAAAGTATTGTGACGAAAGGCATACTTTAGTTATAGAGAACCCAATATACCTGAAACCAWATCAACATTACTGATATTCATCATACCCATTGCCAGAAACATTCCTCTCGAATAAAAGAAAGTTTTACATTTCAGTCTTTTATGGACAAACTTTGAAGTTCTTATAGGATAAATGTGGTTAGAATCACAGAACAATGCAGGCCAGACAGGACCTCTGCAGGTCTCTGGTCCAACACAGCAGTCAAAGCAGAGACAGCCTCATATTTAGATCTGGCTGACCAAAGGACTCATCCCGGTAAATTATTAAAACTGACAAGCACAGAGATTCAAGAGTTTCCCTGTTTAACCATTGTCACWGTGACTTTTCCCATTGTAAGATTCCTAACTGCAGCCAGGGACCTTGTCCTTGCCTCTTACCCTTCCAGCACGGATCTTCCACCAACCCTTTTCACTGCTGGGACTGTGCAGCTCTACCTACAGCCTTAGCAGAACACATGGGAAAACACTGAAGAGCTCAGCTTCRAGTCATTTCCAACACTACTGCATAGTCTGAGCAACAGAATCACAAGGAGCCACTCGGCAGCCCTCATGACAAAACAGACAATACAGAGCACATTCAAACACAACACTTGAAATTATCAATAATTCCTCGTTAAGGAAGGACAAACCTGTGCCACTTTAACGGAATTTTGAGTGGAACCACCAGCATGATATTCTACTTTGAACTTTTTCACAAGTTCTTCGAATCTGTTRAGAAAAAGTAGAGAAGAAGAAAGTTAAACTTTGTAAATTTTTTTCCAATGCAAGTCATGAAGATTAGAAGTAGATGACATCACGTTTTTTGAAAACAAGAAATACACATACATTGACGGTTACATACGACGCAAGCTGGAAACAGCTACTCAGAATTTGTCCAAATCACAACACAAAATATGACATCAAATTGAATTCTTCACATTATAGTTGCAAGYGGAATAAACAACCGGGGGAAAAAAAGCTCAACTGCAATGAACTGTTAGATTAGTAAAATATATGCTTGAAGAAGAATTACATAAATGAAGACATTCAGATACTTATTCCACCTCATTAATTTTACATTCTGTTTCTAGCTTAAGTGTGAAGATTGAGGAGATCTGGTGCCTAGTCCAAAATTAACCCAAACGTGAGTGGTATTGTCAAGATTTCATTTGAAATAGTATGTTTTGATAGGTGAAGAACTTCGATGAACAAATCTAGGAGCATGTGAGAAAACTTGGTAACAGCAAAGTTAAGTATCTCCCGCTGAACTTTCAAATCCTTCAAGCCTATGAAAATATAGCATTCTCTTGTTAATATTCAGTAGTATATTAGGTTTGAATATTAAAACAAATATTTAAACTTTTAACAGAAATATCTACCTTCATATTTCAGATCACAATTTCTGGTTAAGACCCAGGGTTTGTTCATTGTCTAGGATATACATWACATCTCTGAGCAGAGGATACAAGAACTTAAGAACCAGTCTCCTCTCTGACCAAAGGCCACAGAAAAGGGAACTGGAATCAGGGAGTTATGGAGACTGCAGGGAGGGAGGCTATGCACAAGTTCCACATCAGGCCTTTAAATTCCAAGCATAYTTCAAAGTAATTGAACAGCAGGATTGAACAACCTCACAAGATGTTAGCCTGCACTCCTGCAGGAAAGTCAAAATGTTTACCGTAAAATTTATTTGCAGATTTGAGGTTCAAAATTACCTGAATGACCCTAATTAATAGAATGTATTTGCCTTTAATGCCTATTAACTTTACCTTCAAAATAAAGCTTCCCCATTAAGATGTATTCCAACATATTTTATTATGTTTACCTTTAGCATCTTTTTAAGGAGTGATACATGTTTATTTCAGTCATAGTAAAAGATGAATGCTATCTACTAACCCTACTTTGCTCTCCTCCTCACAACTSCATTGTTCTTACATTATGTGAACAACAGCTTTGGGGATAGATTTGTCAAATAATGACTTGTTTGTTTAAAAGGTTTTCATTTTCAACACCATGTTATTAATAAGAGCATTTTTATTTCTACAGTACTTTCCATTTAAAGTGTTTGAATAATGAGCTACTTACCCTAGCAAAACTACCAATGGCCAGACAATTAGAAAGAAACAAGAACTAAATTACTACATATGCTTTCCACAGTTACCCACACTACTAATTATGCACCAATTCTATGTCAAGCAATTGAAACATWAAATGATAGCAAGTAGCTGAAAGTGGGAAAAAATATCAAAACCCAACAGGTCGCTTAACAATTGCTTTTCAAGCAAAGAAAAACCATCATGAACCAATTAAGTATTTTGGCAATTTTTCTTTCTTTAATTTAATTGACATTTTGCCTTTTCAYTCAATCTGAGTATGTACTGTGCAAATCAGATGGTTATTTTTGTATTCTTGTGTATCTATAACCATGCACATTGGTATTTAAATTCTTTTACCTAAAAGAACATGAAAAGTTTCCATGTCCACATTATTTAATGGTATGTTAAACCTTATAAACACAGTATACTTCACCTGAGCACCAACATAAGCAGCTCAATGTCTAGGTATGTTTAAATAATTGTCTTGTGGTTCACATGAATAAAATAGGCTATATCTGAATTAGGAGGGGGAAAAAATGGAAATTGCCATAAAATACTGTCTATATTATAAAAATTTCAAGGTGACAGCTACTTAATCTAAKAAATAGTCTGAACAAATTTCTTTACAATTACTTACTACAAGAAGAAAAATGATGGTTACACTATTTCAGGTCAAACATAAAAAGACCTAACTCTTTAAATTTAAATTAAGGTGGTGAATTCAAAAATCTCTAAATATCTGTTATATAATATAGAACAAGYTCATACAGCTGCAAGAAAAGTAAATTTTTCTGGTCATTTTCTATCCAACATCAGTACAACAACACAAATTCTCTTCTTTTAATCCACAGGAGCCTGAAGGTTTCAAGAATGACCTCAAAATTCAGAATTCTGATAGATTTTTTTATCTTAAGATGAACAGCTAGATGGACATTTTTCACAATGTCAGCAGATGGCACAGGCAGYGTGGGAACACAGACTTTGTCACTGTCTGCTGTCTGCCTGACCTGCAAAGAGCAGACTGTCATTCCAGCAATCCTCAGAAACAGGGTGCTCGCTTTTAGAAACCCCTCCACTTCAAGGAAGGAAGTTCAGCTGTAGAAACTGCTCCAAGGCTTGGGAATGCTCAAAGAGCTGCTGTGTGCACTTCAAAACTAAGCTGTTATCACACTTAAGATAATTCAAGAAAATTAGAACCTTATGAGCATGACTGAATATTATTTTTGCCTCACATTCTGCAGTTATTAGTTTTTCYGAGTATTTCTAAGGCTGTTCTGTATCTGAGAACCGTGACCTTTCTCCTGACCTAGCAACATACCATTACCTTAAGTAACAGAATAATAAATCCCACAATCGGCACCATATAAAGGGGCCCCTACTTTTAGTACCATGAATTTGTCCACCACATTAAAGCGTATTTTAACAAAAGTAAGTTTGCATTTGCAGCAGCATATGTTTTCAGCTGTGATACTGCTGATCACCTCTAGCACTGACCAAAGTGGATGTTAATGTTTTGCTCAGTTACAGTAAAGGCAATAACACTTCTGTCAGTTGCTTTTTTCCCCTTTTTTCAAAAGAGAACATAATTCTAATTGAACTTGATACTGAAAGGTGAGGCTCAGCAGCTTCACTTTTGACAGAATTAATGGTTATTAAAAAATAATAAGGTGGTAGTAGAAGAAGCTATTATACAAAAGAACACATAAAAGAATGAGAATACACCATTTATTTTTTAAATACACCACCTTACATTACCGAAGGTGRAGGCTTATTTTCAGAAAGCACAGACACTTCTTACAAATGCCATACCATTACCTCAAACTGGACGCAGCTGTTAGAATTTCCCCCCAGTAAATATGACTGCTGACAATTTCACCACCCTGTTTGACTCTCAGACCATTCATAACCTAAGCATCACTAGCCACTTTCTCTGTGTGCTCTTACTAAACTAYGTGTAAACCTCACACTATTCCTTCTCACAGCACCTCTTAAAAAGCCGGATTTACTGTACTATAGAGAAAAATGGACTCATTGTAATATCTAATCTCTTCAGACACCTGCAAAGATCATTTGTATCTGCTACCCCTCTGACCAGCCCTTTTTCTCCCCCCAGCTCTCTCACAGCCCTTTCTCAGTCACTGCAAGCAGAAGTCGCTTCTCTACATTTTCAAGGCCCCACAAAGTGTTATGCACTGAACATACCATCCTTCATCCGGTACGTTCAGATTTACAACAGCCTCCAGGCACAAAGCTGTCAACAAAAATAGCTTTTCTCTCACTAACCCATGATATCATCCAATGTCCAGTTACTAGAATTTTCTATGACTATTAGCAAAACTACTTTAAATCTTCCTTCAAACTATCTTTCACCATAATGTCAAAAAAAAGTCATCAGCAAGGCTGTGTGATTTCCCRAGGCTATTCTCCAGCCTAATAACTGGCAATCCTCTCACGGATCAATACGTGTCTCTCGTAACTTCCTTCATACACAAAATCTGAAGGTTTTGGAGCTGGGCCTATCTTCTTGTTACACAGCAACAGATACACTCATGTATGGCTCACCATGGTTCCAAAATCAAACTGACAAGAAAAATAAGCACATAAAACATTCCCTACAACCAAAAGCAGACAACATAAGGCAGTGGAGCTACAGTAAGGAAAATTAAAGCAATTCAAGTAACGCTGTTAAGTTTTATGACACAATTTATATTAAACTAAAAAAAACCCCACCCCTTTTTGAAGGGGAAAATGGCCACAGAACACCAGCATTTAACTGTCTTCCACAGAGTGCACCAGAAAAACATTCCTGATGCATATGTCAGAAGCTACTTAACTGCAAGAAATAGAGAAAAGTAATCTCTTGTTTTTCAGCAGGGTGTGTTRCCCTGGATATCTTTTGATATATCTGCTTATTACCTAAGATGTACTCAATAGCACACATCAGCAGGAGCTACACATTAAAAAAAAACTACCTGCCAAAAGCAGCTAGAGAGGAGAGAAAAACAATTTTTGCCCTTTTGAATGCCAGAGAACCAGATAATGACAACCTGAATGWAAGACAAAAATCAGGTTATTATATATAACAATAATAAATTATTTTCAGTGGATTGTATCTTTTGTTTGGTGTTATAAAAATCTTCAAAACCACTAAGATGGAAACCTCTTAAATAATTAATAAAAGATTGCAAGTTGCACATAAGTCTAATTCCTTTTCTTTGAAGGTATGTTGGGGCTGGGATGTAGCCATTGTTGATACCTCCAGAGAAGAAGGTAGACTAGGATTTGRTATTTTTTCAAGGTATTGAATGAATTTTAATTAGATTTTAATTAAAAATCATAATTAATGGTGATWCTGACACTGTTGCCAGATATTTATTTTTACTGGCAAGAAGCATTCATATTAAGACATGGCAAGAGCTTTAAATGTTCAGCTGTGAGGAGAACCAGACTAATATGCTGACAGTTACATGTTTGATCCTTTTAATTGCATTTTTTTTAAATCTACTTAAATCTTCATATTAAGTAACCTGTGTCCAGTTGCCTATGAAATCACTCCATAAATTAAAGAAAAAAAGTATGTAAGAGTGAGCATCGTATTTTACAACCTGTTTTAATAATACTAAAAGCTCAGTA